TTTCTGAGCATATTCTTATCTGAGTACTTTTACAGGCGACTCCCTCCCACCCTCCCCCAGCTGCTCTTATGATTTTCTCCTTTTCCTCAAAGTTGGATATTTTAACTATTATGTGCCTAGGTGACTTCTTCTTGGGTGACTTCTTCATTCTAACTGGTGTCCTCTCTGCTTCTTGAATGGTTGCCTGGTTCTCATTCATCAAGCTGGGGATGTTTTCTACCAGGAATTCCCTCACTAATTTTGCAGTTGGCTTCTTGGTTGTGTCTTGTTCTGGGAATCCAATTATTCTAATGTTGTTCCTCTTCATAGCATCAGACATTGTTCTTAGGTTTTCTTCAGTTTCTTTGATTAACTTGTTTGACTCTCCTTCCCATTTGTTGAAGTCTGCCTGTTTGTCCTCAAGGTCACTGGTACAGTTATATGCTTCTTCTCATCTGTTGGTGACATTTTTAGCTTGTTATTTGCTTTTGTTACCTCATCCCTTAAAGTTTCTATTTCCCTTTAGTGTGTGGCCTTATCTCTTCTATCATTTCATCCTTTTTCTGTATTGCTTCCCTCACATCTTATATGACTCCAAGTGGTATTCCGAAGATTTCTTTCTGTGATAGATCATCTACTTCTATGCATGCTGTTAGGTTCAAAACTCCCATTGACATTGCATTTTTTTTCCTCCTATTTTTTCATTGAGGTTGTTAGACTGGATGTTGTCTGCATGTCAATGCTACTTTCCAGATTGTCAAAAAGCACTGGGCTCTCTCTTTGGGAGGCTCATAGGAATGCTTCTAAGGACTGCCTGCAGATAACTGAGCTGTAGGGTTGGGCTACCACTTTATTCCACTGGGGTTTCACTCTTTCTCTAGCCAACTGGTATTCTGTTATTTTGAGGGCAAGTTGGATGACCCTCTGAGAGGATGTTGGGCAGACAGTTGTGGGCCATGAGGGTAATGCTGTGCCAGTTGATCATATGGGAAGCCACTACAGTGTGACCCACAACAGTGTGGAGTGCCTCGAAGGGCATGCAAGGGTGCCCACTGCATTGTGCAGTGCTACGGAGGCTGGGCGGGATGCCTGCTGTGGTGTGGGGCACCGTGTAATGTAGGTGGAGATTTCCACAGCCACATGGAGTGTCACAGAGTGCTGGCAGGGCTGTCCTATGCAACATAAAGTGACATGGAGGTTAAGAGGAAGCTCCCCAATTGTGTGGACGGCTAGACTGTGATCTTTATAGCAGAAGATTACCAGGTATTTCTCCTATGGACCTGCTGGGTAAATTCAAACTGCCAACCTTTCAATTAACATTTGAGCTGTCAACCATTGCACCAGTGGTACTCCAGAGTGCAATTGATGAATTACACAGAAAAAAGAGCAAAGTTCTGGTCACTTCCAGAGAAAGTGATTAAAAAAATCCCTCAAAAGAAAACTACATTCAAGAGGTCAGTGGAATTATACACACACATGCACACACACACACACACACACACACACAATCAATCAATCAATTTTAAAACCCCAAATATTTGAAACTAAAAGGTTTTCTGTGTATGTTTGGTAACAAAATTTATTACCAACATAAAAATTGATCAGAGGTTTTAAAATTCCACTTTACTTGGAATGCTTGTATATTGGCTGCAGAAATATTATTGGCATCTGATTTAGGCATAAAGACTTTGGTAGTTACATAATCTGTTGTGTGTTTGAGGATTAAGAGTGTAAGGGTTTAATCAGGTGGCAGCTTGATGACCTCATTTGAAGGTGCTAAGGAGATAAATAGCTCATTGGAGGCAGGATGCAGGCTCACTCCTTGGGAGACATTTCAGCTGACAAGACACATACAGCTACGTTAGTGCCCTCAGCTGGAGTAGCCAAGTGGAAACCCCTGCTAGCACTGATATGCTTACAACACCACTGGATCCAAAAGACTTCCTACTCACTGGCCTTTGATTTTCTTGCATTCAGTATTATTGCATGTGTTGCGTGAGTCTGAAGAGGGCTTTATAGATTAGTATCAGGCACATGGGCTAATATCAGACTTATAGACTTGCCCTTGACTGGGCTGGTATCTTTTCACAATGTCTAATTGCTCTTTGCTTATAAACCTCTTTTTTATACACATATGAATGTCCATGAATTTTTTTCTCTAGTCTACCAGGACTAACACAATGACTTAGGCCCTTCTTTGTCATCTATATAACTTGATATATTGTGCCTTTATCAAATAGCCTTTTAAAAGTTATTCAAATTCTCAACTCCAAAGCATATACCCAAAAGTTATCAGAAAAAGTGCTATCACAGTCCTATTAATATAATCCTGAAAATCTTTGCCAAAGCTATTAGACATCAAAATAAACCAAGACCTACAAATTGGCAAAGACATCCATCAAACACTCTTTTGTAAGTAATATTAAATAGAAAACAAATAAATCCATGAAAAACTGCACATAAAAATACAATAGACAAAGGACATAAATGGGTGATTCATAAATTAAACTAACCAATAAAAATATAATAACATGACAAGGATCAGTATATAACCCTCCAAGGGGGATGAACAATGCAAAAGTGGATGAAGGGTGACAGAGGATGATGAAAAATATGAAAATAATAATCTATAACTAATCAAGGGTTCATGAGGGAGGGTGAGTGGGGGAGGGAGGACGAAAATGAGGAGCTGATATCCAGGGCTCAAGTGGGAAGAAAATGCTTTGAAAATGATGATGGCAGCATACGTGGAAATGTGCTTGACACAGTGGATGAATGTATGGATTGTGATAGACATGTAAGAGCCCCCAATAAAAGTATTTAATAAATATATATACTTAAGTTAAGTGAGAATTGGTGGTCAGTGATAAAATCCTCACTTTACAAGGAGGATACTAGGCTTGATTTCTAGTCAATGTATGTAAATCCAGCCAACATCTATATGTCTGAAGAGGCTTGAGTGTTGCAGTGATGTTGAACATTGGCTAAATTTAGACCAAAATGGACTATGTAAAAGACCTAGTAAGTTGTGCCCTTAAAACTAGCCAATGAAAATTTTATGAATAACAATGGCCTACCACCAGTAATGTATATGAGTTATGACATTTATTTTTTTCATTTAAACAAATAGAACCAAAAGCCAAGCCCAAACCCACAGCGACAGTCATTTTTTTACTTGTACCAACCCTAAAGGACAATCAAGAACTATCAAATCACTGAGAATTCTGGTGAGGCCAAATTGACCCAAAACCTAACTATCATAGGAACTTTGCTCCAATTTTTCATGGTGACTAACTTGATTAAGAGACTTTGGGCATTTTTGGATATGAAATCTCTCAAATAGAAAATTTTATTTTTAAAAAAATTCACCAATGTTAATGCAAACTGTAATACTAGTAGAAAATAAAAAAAAATACTATCAACAAAAGCAACCTTGTTTACAATTTATATCTAAAAACTTTATAGATAATGTAGTCCCACTGCTTTATTATTTGAATGAACTTTCAAACAAAATACTATGAATATCATATTGTTGATTGAGAAGGGAATTTGGTCAGTCAATTTGTGGATTTGCATTTGCCCCCTGTGATTCTTTGTTTTTCTTCTGGTTCCTGGTGACCTAGAAAGAGACATAAAGAAAACAGAATTTGAGCTCAGGAATTGAGATGAAATTAGTTTTTCTCTTCTTCCTCACTCTCTGATCTTCCCATGAGCCACATCATCCACCTTTTCCTTCACCAAAGACTCTTCCTCCTGTCTTACCTCTCCCATTTAATGCATTACTCTTTGGAGTCATCCCCCATACCAGTGGTCTTCAATTTGAAAACATAGATCCCCATGCCCAGCATTGGCACATTTCAACAGGGCAAGGGTTCCACAAATGAGGTGATGGAGAATAATAGGAGCATGTACAAAGGGTAAATATTTATCATGTTGCTATTGCTATTCTTAGATCAGAACACACACACACACACATCAAACCCAGCATCATCAAGTTGATTATGATTCATAGCAAACCTATATCTAGTTTTTGAGGACAATAAACCATAATGAAGAAGACAACTTTATCTTTATTTCCTGGAGCACCTTCTAGGTTTGAACCACCAACCCTGTACACTGTTCTAGTGGCACTGTGGAGTAAGCAATACAAGGCTTATTCCACATTGACCCTAGAACTCCTTGGATTAAAATACAGAGGTGCTGAATTAGGGAATCTGAGCAATGGAATGGTTTATGTGCATGTGTTGTGTGCCTGAACATGTCAGTATTTCTATATGAATCATTTGCATTTCAATTTAACTTTGAGCACTTCTATCAAGAAATCCATGGCAGCATTTTGCACATCTTTGCATAAATCTTTGTTTAGTACATGTGACTGCCAAGGTGATATGTAGTCAATCATATCTTTCACTGATGAGCCAGAATGTACCTTTCACTAAAGGATAGTATCTTTTTCTGTAAAGTGATGTTAGTTCAGGACTGTGGAGTGCCCTCTTTCATTTGTGTCTGGAACAGACTCTATGAACGCTTTTTCTCATTGCATTATGTTGTTCTTGCTTATTACATAAATGTTCCAGTTTTCTTCTGTTCTCTGCTCATTTTTTAAAACAACTGGCATATAATTCACATATTATATAATTTAATAGTTCAATTAAAGAGGGTTGTACAATCATCACACAAGCAAGTTTAGAACATTTTGTTCTTTCTGTTTTATTATTGTTGTTAGCTTTCCACCTCCCACTCCCACAACAACCTCCCCTGCCATACGCCAAAGAAACCATTAATCTAGTTACTGTCTGTATCGACTTATCTATCCTGGATTCCATATAAAGGATAACATGCAAATGAACAACTATAAAACTAAGAGCAGTAACAAAGAAAACCTCAATAGAAAAGAAAGAAAATATGAAAAACTAGAACAAATATAAGTGGGTCAAAAGGGAAATCAAATGATAAGATGTCAAATTTTAACCTAACGATATCTGCAGTAATGTACTTTCCAGTGCATTCTGCATGATAGCAAGGCTGTTCACCTCCTTGGACTATGGTCAGAGGGGTCCACCCCAACTGTTGACAACTTCATGCATGCAGATTAGAACTGCGGTCCATAGTATTGTCAATGGATTATTCTTTTAAAGGTAGCTTACTAGGCCTTTCTGTCCACATGCCTCCGGGTGACTTCAAATCACCAATATTTTGTTCATCAATGAACTGGCTAATCATTTGCAACATGCAGAGAGTCCTGCAAAAAAGTTTCTCTCACTCGCTGCTTTGAGCTTATCTAACTCATAGTGACCCTGAAGGACAGAGAAGAACTGTCCTTGTGGGTTTCCAAGACTGTAATGCTCATGGCAGTGGACTAGCTTATTTTTCTCCCTCAGTGCATCTGGTAGTTTCAAATGTAGGCAGCCCAACACATACCCCACCATGCCACGAGGACTCCCATGAAAGAAGTTTACACTATTAACCTTATGGATGATATTTCAGAATGAGAAAAAAATACTATTAATTCAAAAACTGTATCAGTAACTCTGCATTGGATCTCAATAGTAATCCTTGTTTTGTTTTAACAGCAGATTTTGTGACAGCAAACAAGCAAACAAACAATGGGTGAAGAGCGTCTCATACTTGTTACTGAAGTTTTTCTTTTGGGATTGACAATCCTTCAGGCCAAAAAAAATGTACCCCTTTTCATGACTCCATCCTAATAAATCTGGTCTTCTCATTAACCTGCCCCCAAATCTGGACTCTGGAGCCTGACAGCTAGGACAGAAATCATTCTTTCACCACTAACTAAGTGTGCCAATGAGGTGAAATCACTGATTATTTCTGAGCATCTGCATCTGTATCTATGAAATTGGAGTAACAATGGGATCCTCATAATTTTCTTTGCAAAGTACCTATTGAGTTAGTATACGTACAGCTCTTAGAAGGAATATAGTTACCAGTCCCTGGAGAGTACTTAGTAAGTGTTTTCTATTAGTATAAATGTATTCTACTATATATTATTGATTTGTTGGGATTTCATCCAAATCCATACATTTTATAACCGGTTCTAAACCGATAAACATGAATATTCAGTACAAAATTGCCTTTGTGTGTGTGTGTGTTTCAGATGCGTTCATCAAGATCTGCACATCTCCAAATTAATGATTAAAAGTGTCTTGCATATCCTGTAAGCACCACATATGTAACCTATCCAAACAGAACATTCCTTGGACTATGACTTTCTCCTGCATTCTTAATTTTCATGGATAGTAGCAACATAGATGCAGGTGTCAGTGGCCCTTGATGTTTCCCCTATGCTGCGCCATCACCGTACATAGAAAAACAGTGAGGACCTGCAATGTAAAAAATCTTGTTTTCCTTTTTTTCATTAACCCAAGCCTTTCTAATCTCTCTCCTTCATATCGCAATACTTAAAAGATCTTTCGGTGTTGTCCTGGTAAACTGAATTTCCAATTTTAACAAAGCCTGGGCTGAAATATTTGCAGAATCTATTGATCTAAATTCTCCCACTATATGTTTAATATACTAGAGGTTTAGCAACTAGCCTAAATGATTCTGGAATATTTAACTCTGGAATACTTAATTCTGTAGTTGAGAAATATGGAGAATCCATCTCACTACTACCTTTATATAAATGGACACACACACACACACACACACAATTTGCTGAAATATCTAAGTGATGAAGCATGCATTCTTCTTCATAAAACCATTCAATTTGTTACCATATCTTCATTTCTGAAGAAAATATTTTACAGTCTGGTCTTTTTTATACCTTCTTACCCCCTCTTTCCATGTATACTTTTTCAGTTCTAAAGACCTCATTATGGTATTTTACTTTATTTTTGTATTTGCACGTATCATATCCTCTGTGTGGAATTCCTTGCAATGTATTTGCCTTGCTAAGAAAAATAGCCCCTACCTTAGGCTGATTTCTCATGGTGACCCAGGCACCAAAAATAAGTAATGTGTATATACTATCACATTTAACTTCTAAATCAATTAAATATAAGAAAAAGCCCAGCCCAACCTACTGCCATTGAGTAATTTTTGACTCACAGCAATCTTACAGCACAAATTAGAACTGCTCCATAGGGTTTCTAAGTCTTTATATTTTTATACAATAGCCAATGTTTTATTTCTCCTGAAAGGTGGATGAGGGATTGGAAGCATCTTCAAGTTAGCAACCTAAAGCTTATTCCACTGCCCTTTGATATACAGACTTCCCCATTGCAGGGAGAAACATTAAAACAAGTTTTGGAGCCTAGATTCAAATTAGCTCTGTCTTACACCAAAATCCTTGCTCTTGACTACTGTGTGATACCAATTCCCTTCAGCACTAATTTCCACAAGTAAACTATGCTAAAAAAAAAAAACCCCAAGCATTTTCCCCCTTAAAAATGAATGCCAGGACATTGATTAGATTTTTTCTTACCATCTGTTGACTGAGAATGTAACAAAATAAGAATCTGGTGCTCCCAAAGACTAAACGAAATTATTTGCCCTGTTGCCCAGTTAATTTTCTTCCATACAGTTCTCACCTTAATTAAACTGTGAATATCACTTGCCAGTTTCAGCTTGTGGTCAATTGTTTTTAGTTTAAAGCAGAAGAGTCGAAGTTTGTCTCCTTCCTCACATTTCAGGTTGTGGCACTTTCCACTGCCCACTACATCCATCTTTCCTGTATCATCCTGGATTTCATAGATTGTGTTCTTTACATTAACTTTTTTCTGCAACAGAAATTAACATCCAGTTTCATATAACATAGTGACTGCTATATGTATGAGAAAAATCCTCATGACAGAGTTAGTGTAAGCTTTAAGATAGTAATTGCACACATAGTTGTACAAGGAGCTGGGACTAGGTAATCTCACATATTTAAACTGTCTTTTAACATTGACTGCTCTATGTGTCTTTATGTCTGACATTTTAAAACAATGTTTTCTTTTCCTGTTTTCACATGCTTCCATTTCCAAAGAAGCTGATATTGGTTGAAAACACCTAGATATAGAGGAATAAGTAACTTTTGGAAAACACTTGGGCTTCTTCCCATAAGTACAAATGAATAAACATCTGCAACAACTGCTCAATATTTAATAGGTTATGAGAAATCTGTATACAAGTACTTTTCTAAAAGTTACTAGTTATTTGTCCAGCTTCCCTCCTTTACTCATTTTTCTCCCAAAACTTGCCCTCACTGACTCAGGTCACTCCTCTCACATTTCAAACACTTCATAGTGTTTCACTAATCTTAGCCATTATTTATACATGCTGTCATTGCATATGTAAGCATGATCTCATATAGAGTAGTCTAGAAAGTAACGTAGGTTAAATTAAGGGCTATTATAAAAGAGGCATAGTGGAGTTTGAAGGACTGATGTAAGATGTCAGTTGAGTTCAAGGCAATTTGTCAGTTTTAAAAATATAACACCATGACTTATGTACTGAACTTGGGTATGAATACAGCCATAAATTTGTCTATGTACTTTAGTTTTATTTTTTTTAACCGAGGAGATTATATTGTCTTACCTTCCAATGTCATACAATTCAGTTTTTCTCAATTTAATAATCTTTTCATGCACAAAAGCGAATCATGAATAAGAGAATGATGTCAATAATCTTTTTATGAAAAGTGAATAAATGAATCAGAAGGAGGAGAGAGCACTAAATGGTTAGATTGTATCCTTAGCTCTTCAATGTATTTGCATTCCTGGAATATCAGCCAGTATATTTATTACTGTAATAGCATATCACAAACAAACTTCAAACATGATAGGTCAATTAATTATTAAAAACAAGTTAATCAGACTGTGAACTGAAAAATTTATATAGTTTGGGTGGTATTAAAACTCATGAAATAATCGGCAAATGATAAGATCTTAGTGAATATTCTGAAAAGCATTTGGTTGCTGATGTTCATTCAGTAGGAAAAGTTCTACTCAGCTAGTCAAGACATTTACAGGCATTGACAGAGAAAAGTTAAAAAGAAAAGTAAGGAATTACCTTATGTAATGTAAAAAATCCATACACAAATGTTCCTGAGGCTCGTTTTTGAAGATCATCAATCTTGGGAGTTTCCTTCGCTCTTTTGATAATTCTGATTGAGACATCAAGCTTTTGATCTGGATCAGCTTCAGATACGGATGACATTTCATTTATTTCAATTAATCCTTTGTATTCCATGTAATCTGTTATGACAAGAACTTTCTTTGGGGTGAACTTCTTCTTTAGATTGACATTGAAAACCTTCACTTGGAAGAACGTACTCTCTGTAACCACAGTAGCATGAAACATCCGGTTTTTACCCTTTAGTGGAGACTCATATTTAAATGGTGCTGTTGCTTTCAGGACCTTGACTACTATTGGACCTTTTTGCAGAACACTTCTTTTGTTAGCTGCTTGGTATTGGGTCTGCTCTCCTTGGTTCTGGATTTGAGAGACATAATGGTGTAAACTTATAAATTTAAGCATGAAATACATAGTCATATTCCTTTGAGAGAAAGATCAATGGCAGCATTGGGGCTCAACAACAGATCCTTTGATAGAGGGCTAAACTAGAGGGGGATTGATAAAACTCTGGTGTAAATTAGCTAGAAGAAGTAAAGTAGACAATAAAGGGCACAGGCGTTAGAAAACCCTCATTTAAGGTCATTGGAATGACCTTTCAGAAGTAAATTATAATCTTTAGTTACAGAAACCTAGTATGGTAGATGATCAGAATAGTAACCTAAATTATTATTCCAAATGACAGGGATTAATATAAATTCCAATATACTCCATAGTGATTTAAACAGCAAAAGAAAATTAAAAGAGTGAAATACTCAAGTAGTATTGAAAATGAGGAAAGTTGACCCCTAAAAACACCAAACTAAATGGCAACAGTTATCACTACTATGCCCAGGAATATTTTAGAAATATGGCATAGTGGGTTAAAGATTGGACTACTAACCAAAAGATTGGTGGCCTGACCTCGAGTGGTTTTACAGGAGAAGGATGGCAGTCAGCTTTCATAAAGATTTACAGCCTCAGAGACCCTCTGCAGCAATTCTGCTTATCCTCTGGGATCATTATGAGTCAGAATTGCCTCAATGGCAGTGAATTGGGTTCGGGTTCATGTTGAACTAAGAAAACACACTGTAGAATATTGATATTGTATGACACCACTTTGGGAAAGGTATCATTCTACTTAGGAAGAGAAATATTTTAAAAGATCATAGAGAAAAATTGGTAGTATCTGGATGGTAGAGTTTCACGCAATTTAAAGTTTCCTTGCTTGCTTGGTTATTGAGTTAGTTAATTGTGCCAGTCTGGCTGATAATCATATGTGGGGCTAATTGAAAGGCGGTGGGATAAATGGGTGGTGAGCCTCGCCTTTCTAGTTCTCGGGTCTCTTGCTTTGTGATGGTCGCACCGGGTGCAGCTGCCTTAGCAGTTCCCTGCTTCAGCTTGCAAGATTGACTTCCTACAAGACATCCCCAAGGAGAAGCCACATGGACCTATCCCGATGCAGCCCTGGGTGCTGGAGCAGCCGTATGGAGACCCTGCCAGTGCTGAGACGCTTATTCATTCACTGACTTAGCTTTCCTCCTGCAGTCGGCATCATTGCCTCTGTTTTGTGAGGTGGAGGACTTTGTGGACTGGTGTTGGGTAAATAAATGGGTTAATGTTGGACCTGTGGGCTTGGGCAGCATTGGGTTGGGATGTTTTCGTGACACACATTTTCTTTACATAAAACTCTCTTATACATGAGTTGCTGTGTATTTGTTTCTCAAAAGTACCCAGATTAATACAGTTATAAACATTTTTCAGTTTTTAAAATAATCATGTTTTAGTTGTGTAGAGGGAATGGAAAGGAGAGAAAAAGAGAGAGAGGGAGAAAGATACTGTTTTTAGTTTTCCTTTTATGAGACATAATGTTTTGAATTCAGTATGTTGCCAGAAGAGGGGGGAAATGGAAAAAAAGAGAGGAAAATCAAAAGCTACCTGTATAGAATAAGGATTCTTGAAATTATTGCATGTTATTAGACTGACATTGATGGGACAAATATTAAAAGACTAGAAATCCACTAATGACTAACATAAAATAAACTAAGTATAAACATGAATGTAAGTGTACAATGTAGCCCCTTTCCTCTCATTTCTAAGTCTTTATATCTGATCTTGTATACTATATTTTTCCTAACTCTTCTTCTTCTCACCCTCTTCTCTCTTATTCTATTATTTGGTTATTTGCCCTGTAAGCCTCAATAAAAATGTTAGTTGCTTTACTGGATTAGATGACCTGCAGTCTTTCCTTCATTAGCTATACTGATTCATTATTTTATTACTTTGTTTTCAATATTTCATTATGTAAATATATTTATTGAAAAATATTTTTGTGAGGCAGGCACTAAAATAAATTATTTTGGTTCACAAGGATAACAAGTTAGCTAAAACTTAGAGTTTAGAATCAAGAGTGGGGGTGGTTGAGAAGATAAACATTTATTAACTTTAATTTTCATAAGTTATAAAAAGTAAAACACAAGGTCCTTCTGATGTGAACACCATGGTGATTTTATGTAGTCTTAGTGGGGTCTCAGGAAGGATTCCTTGATGGAGTATATAAATATTGGGATTTCAAAGGTAAATAAATAATAACAGTAACAACAAAATAGAAACCCACTGTCATCAAGTTGATTCTGACTATAGTAAACCTATATAGGGTTTCTAAGATTGCAAAACTTTAGAAGATTGGTTAATCTCATCTTTCTCTTGCAGAGCAGCTTGTAGATTTGAATAAAAGTCCAACACTCAATTCAAGTGGATTATAAGTTTGGTAAAATTAAGAAATTGCTAGGGAGGTGAAATATGGTATGTAAAATTCTAAAGAAGGAAAGAACGCGGTGTGTTGAAGCAATGCTGATGGATTAGCGAGCAAAGGGAACAAGTTTACGCCTAGACCAGAGCAGTGGACAATAATGATAACTGCTGTGTTCACCCAGGCTACTGGGGATGGTGTACTTCTACTCTTCTCCTTAAGAAACACAAAAGAGTAAACATTTTGAACCCAGAATAGTGCTAACTCCATCAAATATCCATTGTGACAATAAAAGCTTAAAAGGCAGTAAATTCGCAAGTGTACATTTGATTTACTGATAAATTATTGGAGCTGTTTTTAGGTAGTACGCGAGATTAGAATGTCGAGGTTTGAGACCTAATATTTTTGTTGATGGACCTAGAAGGAAAGAGGAACAGGAAGTAAGTACCTCAGTAAAGGAAGTGGAGGAAGGAGTTGATGACGAGATTTGGGGAGGTGGGCAATAATTCATGCTTGCGGATGTGCTTGCTCCTGAAGGACAAGGAGGCTGACTCTGCTCCTGGGAAACCTTCTTTTTCTTGGTTACAGACTTCTCATTGGCTGTGATTTTTCTTTTCTAAAAGTAGATATTTTACCCCCACATTAATGGTTTTTGGAATTAAGTGAAGAGCAGCATTTTAAAAAATTATTATTATGCAGTAGGTTCTATATGAAGGGACGTTTGGAAAAGGCAAAGATGCTCCTACCATAACCTGAAGAGATGGCCAGTTGATAAGAGGTGGGCACACATAGTTGCTTAAACAAACAAACAAATCCTCTAAAAACAACAAATTACTTACCTAATCAGCCTTATGATGGAATTGGAAGAGTAGGACTTGCTATTTATGAAATCAAGATTTGGAAAGTATAAAAATAAATTTTTTCCCCAACCTAAACGGTAACCTACATTTTTTTTTCCATAATGAGATGGTGATATCAAGAATTTTGTCCCAGAAATTTCCATCAAATTTGTTATAGTGTGTAGCTCATCACATACCACCAAGGGAGATGATTAATAGGTATTCATTGTGATAAATGTGAAATGTGTTGGAAGGATAATGCAGAAGTTAGTGCCTAACTAGGAAGGATGAGTGTAAGAGTCATAGGAGATTTTTCTCCTATGAGAGGCTCAGCCGATCATGTTTGCTTGGGCTTACCTGGCCTTGCCCTGTGGTGCTCGTGGGTGTTGCAAAACTTGCCTTATCCTGCTTGTTCCTTTTCACGGGAGTTTCTTTCCTGTTTTTGATTCTCTTTGCTATTGATGCAGAAAGAAGAAGACATCATTAACCTAGAGGAACTCGTGTAAGGCAGTTGAAGCAGCTTCAATCCTATTTCTTTCCAACTCTTTGTTCTGTCCATGTCTATTTTGTTAGCAGAGACGAGTCACATGCTGGGCAATAAGAACAACGCAAGCACAGGACCACGTTGTGTTTCCCTCACATCCCTGTACCATGAGCACAGCCATCTCATTATCTGGAATGTCAAGCACCTCAGTAAAACCCTTTCCCAACACTCTTGTCTGATCCCATTCTTTTTTTTTTAAATTTTTTAAACATTTTATTAGGGGTTCATACAACTGTTATCGCACATCAATTCTGATCCCATTCTTAAAAAACCTAGTCTTGATGCTGATTGGTTTATAATTTTTGACAGAAGACATGCTATAAAGCAAATGATATGAAATACGATTTGATTTGTGTTGTTACCAATAGTGGTAGTGGCCCTTGATCTTTGAAAATATTTTATTTGAGCCCAGTGATTTTACAGGCCAATAAGTTCCAAGTCGTCTTTTTACTAGAGAGGATAATAATGGTGGAAATAAATAGTTTTACTAGAGCAGGTGCAGTAATTGCTTAAAGCTCATATTCTTAAATGATGCCCAATTTTTATAATTTTGCTTTGAAATTTTCTAACTTTTTAAATGATAATCTCAACCTTTTTCATATCTCTGTCTTTTGCTCCTTACCCAAACCTCAAACACACCCTCCCAAATACATTAAATCTCATTACAGGAATGGAAAAGACATACATTGTAAACTGGTTGGAAAGGAATACATTAGCTATGACCAAAGGAAGGTTCCGTTTAAGTTTGTAGTGAGGGTGAGATTGGTTGGATTGAGGGCTCTCCCTTATTACCTTTTAGCTTTGCCACTTTAAGATTTTTCACAGTATCTTTGTTGAGATCTTTGATGTCTTTGAATATCTCTATTAGTTTATCCACACTGGCAACACCTCCATATTTTTCTTCCATCAAGTCAGCAATCTTAATTCTATCGTAGTCTTCTTGCATTTTTTTTGTCAATTGCAAATCATGTGCCAATATAGACTTAACTATGTGAAAGTTGTACTGATTCAGGGGTTCTAGGCCCTTCAGTAGAACAATTTTCTTGTATTCACTTCCCATCTTTCAAGTTATTGCTGAACCTACAAAAGAAAAATGATACACAATGGTACACATTTACAGAGTTTAAAGAACCATATACACCTATAGAGTGAGCGGTCCATGGCAACATGCTGTCAGTGGATATGTGTGACAAAAAAAAAAGAAATATAAACATCAAGTCACCAGTTTTGTCACTGAAGCTCTATGAAACTGTTCTCTGTTAGTGACGGAAATTGAAATGAGCCATGCAAGTATGTGAGAGAAGATCTAGAAGTAGTTGTGGTCATATTTCGACTTTGGATTATGTAGACTCTGGATCCTTTTCTCATTCTCTGTTCAGTCTGAAGCTGGACCTTGTGCATCAGCTTGTTGGCCTGAGTATTCCTATATCTACGAGGAATAAAATGACCTACATGGAAAATGAGCAATTGGGCTGGAGTTTGTCATTTTGTATTAAAATTCTATGGTCCTGCAGTTTCATGCTGGAGAACAGACCCTTGCAGACTTTTCTCTTCCCTAAAATATTCTTATTATCTTCCCCTCTCCCTGAAACACATACTGTGTTCTTTGCAGTACATGTGCATATATATATATATCACTGTCATTTTCCCGGACTTCTGCTTATCATTTAATGTAGAATTTAATTACTTATTTTGCATTGATTGTTTTAACAAACACTTTCCTCCTTCTAGACTCACTTGTCCACCGCTCACCTGTCAGTTTGTCATAGTGTGGTGGCTTGCTATTACAGTGATGCCGTTGACTATATCACCCATATTTCAAATACCAGCACAGTTACTATGAGAGACAGGGTTCAGTGGAACTCCCAACTTAAACCAGACTAGGAAGAAGGAGACTGACCACTTCTAAAAAATTAGAACATTATGAATAACGGTGGATATTGTTTGAGGTCATGGCACACGATGGGTCCCTCAGTGTGGAACACACTCAAAACACAAGTAGGGAAGAGTTGATCCCTCCAAGTAGATGTAGCTTTACTGATGGAGATGGAACATCTGGGGGCCTTCATTTGCTAATGGGGCATGACTCAAAATAGGAAGAAACATTTGCAAATATTCCTTAATCATTGCAACATAAAACGTATGAAATATGAATCTAGAAAAATTAGAAGGCCTGCAAAATGGAATGGGACACATAAAGATAAAAATTTTAGACATTAGGGAGGTGAAGTAGACTAGTATTAGCTCTTTTGAATCAGAAAATCATACAGGTTACGATACTGGTGATGGAAATTGAGTAGGAATAACACTACATGTATTGGTGGTGTTGTTTTGAGGTGCTATCGAGTTGGCTTCGATCCATAGCAACCCTGTGCCCAGCAGAATGAAACACTACCCGGCCCTGTGTCTTCCTCACAATTGTTCCTATGCCTAAACCCATTGATGCAGCCACTGTGTCGATCTAGAACTGACAAGCCACTAAGGATTTTGTAATGCTTGGATCCACAATCAATACTTACGAAAGCAGCGTAAGGAGTTCAAAAGATGTATCGCATTAGGTAAATCTGCTGCACAAGATGTCTTTAGAGTATTGAAAAGAAAGGATATTACTTTGAGGACTAAGGTGCACCTGACGGAAGCTACAGTATTATCCATTGCATCACATGCATGTGAAAGTCGGGCAATGAATATGAAAGACCATAGAAAAAATGATGCATTTAAACTGCAGTGCTAGAGTAGAATATTGAAATTGCCAAAGGCTGCTAAAAGCACAAACTGTTCTGCCTTGGGGGAATTAAGGCCAGAGTTTTCCTTAGAGGGAGGGGTGGCCAGACTTCTTCTTGCATACTTTGGACACATTGTCTGGGGAGACCTGTGCCTGGGGAAGGGCAGCGAAAAAGAGGAAGACCCTCTGCGGGATGGATTGACACTACATTAATCATTAAAAGAATATTTCAAGATTTATCCTGAAGGACAACATTATGAGAGTAATGAGGTGATATTAAAGACAACATATAGTAAGAAACCAAAAGCTCATCAAAAGGACATCAAGGGAAGAAAGCAAAAATAAACACAGGTCAGAAACGACTCTGAAACTCGCTCTTTAAAGTCAAATAGCTAACGTGAAAGTGAGAAATGTTGGACAATCTGAATAGTACATTTCAAAGGGCAGCTCCATAAGACACAGTAAAGTATAATGAATTGTATCAAAACTCGGGGTTAGGGGGAAAATATGAAAGAACACTGTAGACATTTTTCCAGCTGAAAGAATGGAAGGAAAATCTTTTCACTATATGCAGAACCTGATTTGGGAAACCCAGATTCAGGATTGGAAGAAGACTCAAATAACCTATGATATGCAGACATAATAATATCTTGCTTGCTGAAAGTGGAAAGCACTTGAAGCACATCCTGCTGTAGATGACAGTTAAGATCCTTCAGTGTGAATTGCACCTCTTAGCCGGTCAGTAAGCAGCAGCACAAGCCACAGTAAATATACCGACGTAAGGATTGCATGCTACTTGTATTAATGGTCTTTGCTCCGGGGTAATGCTGACTGAAAAGCATGGAACGTATTGCATTGGGCAGATCCGTCTCAAAAGATCTCTTTAAAGTATTCAACAGCAAAGATGTCACTTTGAAGCGTGAAGATGTGTCAGATTCAAGTTATGGTGTTTAGGAGAATCTTAAAGGGATTATTTTCTTTAATTTTTTTATCATGGTTTAAAAGTTCTTGAATAAGTTACGTTGCTGTTTACTACTCTTATTTTTCTATTTATTGCATCTTAAGCTTTACACATTTACAGAAGATGTTGCTTTTGCAGCTACCTTGACTTTGATAATGTCACCCATGCTTCCTGGAAAGCCACTCCCACCTTTCTTCTAAGCTTTATGCAACCTTCAAGACTGAAACTGTAAGTTCTTGCATTTTAACTAAAAGGTTGGAGGTTTGAGTCTACCCAGAAATGCCTCAGAAGAAAAGACTGGTACTCTACTTCTGAAAAATTAAGCACAATTTTACTCTGACAATTGGGTTGTTAAAATTTGAAGTCAACTCAAGGACAGCTGTCGTTT